TGTGAGAGGCCAGGCGGTTATGCAGCTCGTCGGTGGTCTGGCCCAGCATGGCCTGCACCTCGTTGCGGTAATGCGCCAGGCGGCTGCGCAAGTCCTCCATGTCTGTGCCCAGCCGGGCCTGCGCCGCCTGCAGCTCCTTGGACAGGCGGGCCCGGGTTTACTGGGCCACAGGGCTCAGCTGCTCCTCCAGCTCCGCCTTGTAGGCTTTCACCTCCTTCATGGTCTCCTCCATCAGCGCCGTCAGTTCCTGGGTGACCTGGGTGCTGAGCAGCTCCTCCTGCACCTGGTCAGACAGCGTCTGCACCCAGCGCAGGTAATCCCAGAGACGACCCAGAGCCAGCTCCCAGGGCTGGCTGCCCTGCCATTCGGGCTGCTCCTGCCCCAGCTGCACCTCTGGCTCCGGCTCCACCTCCGCCCGGCATCCGGCCAGGAGCGTGACCACCAACGCAACCCACAGAGCCTTCTGTAGTTTTAAAAAAATCTATATTTTTAGTCATTAATTATGTTCCTTCTCAGTCCTTGACCAACCAGCAAAATCATTGGCCACAGCCTGCGGATAGGTACGTAAACATACATGTGACCATTTCTCCCTGCAGGCAAAGTGAACAGCCAGTTACACTGCTTCAAGTCCCGTCCACTGGTGAGACTTCCCTTCACCTCCATCTCTCAGGGATGTCTCAGAAAGGGGCCCTAGTGCCGCAGCTGTCCATTTAGGGGTTGTGCCGACATGTCACGCAGCACCGTCTGTAAACAAGGCCCACGTCTTCTTTTCCTGTGTCAGCTGAAGGTAGGAAACTCCCTGTGAGGACGTAGGTGCAGCTGGGAACATAGAAGGCAGCTGGGCCACTCCTTCCTGTAACTTACTGTGCCTTCAGGGCCTCCATGGGTCGGAACACGTACATACCACTTCCATCTGATGCTGGAGTGCTGTTGTGGATGCCCCACTTTATGATTTGATGGGTCAGGTAACACCCAGTTCGTGACGGGCAGCTCAGGTTGCCTGGTAAGTCTAGTGGCCCACAGCTCAGCATTCAGTCTCTACTGACGCCCAGTAGCCAAAAGCTGTTTCTCAGGTGGAGACTAGCTGTCTGCAGAGGACAGTGGGGCACTGCTCCTCAGTCCAAGGACCTGCAGTCCACCTGTGGGCACCTGCCAAAGGCCCCAAACAGCACCATGTCCACCTGGCACTCCAGGCACCACTGGCTCTGTTGGACCCCGTGGTCTGAGTGGCAGAGCAGCCTGTGCTAGACCTGTTCCAGTCCCTTTTCTTGTTTAGGGTCCTGCTCAAAACCAGCAGCTTTTCAGATCCCTTGGCAAATGGGCTGGAATAACACACCCAGATGAGAACTGTATTGCCTCCAAAATCTGCAAAGGCACATCTGATAGAGGCTGTGTCTCTGTTTTGGTTGTAGGAGGGTCCAGGAGTAACAGCATGTTTCACCTCAGAAGGGGGATTTCAGCATGCCTCACACCGCTGGGCCTTCAGACATCTCACTGGGGTAGAGTGCCCCTGAATTTTCTCAGATTTATTTCTTATGCTCGGCCATGAGAATGTCTTGCCAGTGAGTCCAGAGTAGCTGTTTTGTCTTTCTCACTAGGTCCAGTCAGCATAATGTCACCAGGGTAATGAGCCAGTGTGATAACTTGTTGATGGAAAATGGATCAAGATTCCTGCAAACTAATATGTGAAATAGGGCTGAAAAGTTGATAGACCCCTCGAGGTAGGACAGTGAGGATGCATCGCTAGCCTTGCCCACCGAAAGCAGACTGCCTCTGGCAGTCTTAATTTTCTCCAACTATGTTAGTATTGGGGGTCAGGGCTCCAGCATATGAATTTCAGGGATCACAGTTCGGTCCATAATAGTTACATCTTGGAAATGATGTCCCTGTCAGAACATTTGCAGGTGTAAATTTGATTTGCAAGGTAGTATGATTCAGGGCTGCTACAAAGCTAACCAGGGACTGTAAATTCATGGAAGGGACCACTTCCTGAAAACATTTTATTTTCCTATGACAGAAAATTGTTGTAATGATACCATCTTGTGATTACAAGACTTGTGCCTGATTTCTGTTGGAAAGTTGTTATAAAATATCTAGATCAGCACGATGTACGTGAATGAAGTGCTTTAAAGAAGGCACTTTTGTGCCGGGCAGAACTTAACACTGTCTAGTGACCTAGACTTCGATGCTCCATGATACTAGAATATTATAATGGTTGGTTTTGATTACAAAGCCATTTAGTACATTCTGCAGACACATTGCTCCCAAATTATATAGAATCTTACCACAAAATGGTAAATTATTTTTACTGTCTTAGACATAGTCTACTTTGGATCTCAGTTTAAACGGCGTCTAACTGGAAGGCTGTGATAGTCCTTAGACTAGGCAAGGTACCTACTTGAGTTTTCCCCAAATTATACTTCAATATTAGATAATTTCTAGTAGTTAGTTTTGGGGAAATTTGCACTTTTAAAGCAGTAGGTTCGGTCTCCAGTTTGAAGATAGTGGAGCAAAGACATTTCTACACTCGTCTTTTCTCTAAAATTATTTCAAAACCAGCAAGGAAAATAATGTTCAGTGAGTTCCCCTTTATAAAATTGCTCCCAAAACCTCAGTCATAATGTATGATGTAGAAAGTGGATGGAGATACAAGATAAAGTACCTTGGAGAACAGGATTTTACCTAAGTGTTGGCAGAGGTGAAGGTATGGGGGCTGAAGAGAAACAGGGTGATGTGGTCTGGCCAAATCCAGAAAGGCATCACGTTCTGCAGAAGGAATTATGCAAGGTTGTGTGTGTGTGTGCATGTGTGTGTGTGTGTGTGTGTGTGTGTGTGTGTGTGTGTGTGTGTGTAGTGGATGGGAGGAAGGCAGAGACACCCTCCATACCTGGCCCTTCACCCTGCACAGTCAGGCTCCTACCTCTTCCTGCTCTTGTAGGAGCCTGGAGGTTTATTCTCCTTGGATATAAGACCAGAGAGGTGGTGGATTTCAGACAAGAGACAGAGGAGGGTGAGACGAGGGGCCAGGCTGAAATCAGGAGGTTCAGTTGAAAGTCTGAAGAAGGAATTATGAGACCCTCAGTCCTTCCTCCCCTGCTTTATCATACTGCTCAGACAGCTTTTACACTCTTCAGTCCCGTGGAAGCCCAAGCAGTCTGGAAACGCTTTCAATTTAAATTTCTCTTTGAGAATATTTTGAATCACAGAGGGAGCATGAACTCAGACCATATAGTCGTGGAAAGGCCAGCCGGAGGTTATAAATTCTTACAAGAGACTTTTTTCCCCTCTTCACCCAGTGTTAAATCATAGCCATTCAAGTGGCCTCGCCGAGATGTTTTGCTTGGCATGTCTATTTCCGGTGCATCCATAACCCAAGGGCCAGCCTGTGTGGTCATCATTTGCATTCTGTCTTTTATGAGATTCTCCATAGCAGGCCTTGAAGCCATGAAAGTGGAAAAGTGGGTCTCCAAGATTTAACAGAAACCCGCGGGATAAAAGTTGTCCTTCCTGTTTACCTTGCATTCCCTGCTTTTTCTTTGGTTTGTGCTTTATAGTTTCCTTTCCTCTGGGTCATCTCAGCAATCCATTTAGAAGGTAGATATTTTATCCAATGCTTTTTTTCCCCTTTTTCATTACAAAAGTCGTTTATGATTTCTAAGCCACAATACTGCCCCCAATAGAAACGTTCCTTGTTTTATCTCATTGTGTTTTTATATTGCTGACCTGGTTAATTGATTTGCAGTAAGAATACATTTATGTAATAGTCTTCTAATCAAAAAAGAAGAAAAGTAAAAGAATATAGAAGGGCAGATAGGATAACAGTAGTCATTAAACATCTATACCATGTTCAAGGAAATGGGCATTTGGGGTTCCGTTTTCCTGGCTGCCTCATACTTCAGGGACACCTGGGTCTTTTCACAGTTTTCTTGTGTTTAATCTGAACAAAGAAGCTATTGTAGCTCAGCTTCTATGGCAAATGAAAATGTAAGAGGAAGAAACAAGTGCTAATGCACTCGGATGTATCTGGCCTTAATAGGGTAAAATTTCAGTACTGAGACAGGGGACAGTGAGGATGCTGGCATTGCTGGAAGGGGACTGGATTTGTCTGTGGGCTGATATGGTCTGCTCCTTGTTTTACTCTTCACAGTGGCTACTTGCCAGTGTTTTTCTTTAGGATAGTACTTTCTTCTCATTCAAAAGTTTGTGCATACACTCTATCATAGCAGAGAGACTTGACATCCATGGCACCGTAATGGATACAGAGTAGGTATTGGAAATCGAAAGTGTGCTGCCTTAAAGACCCTGGACTCCTGTGAAGTACCCTCAATTCTCTTTTGGTTTGTTCTCACTGAAAAATGTTTATGTGGACCGAAGGAGGGAGATCTGTTATCTCTATCAAATCTTTTTGTTCTTCCTTAATTGGTTTTTGTCACCATGAGAGGTATAGCCTTCTTATACAATAGTTCTGATGGACTCTGTGTGTTTTCTTTGCATTCAAGGGAGCCCTTTATTTTTTTTATATTGAGTTATAATTAACATACACTATTATATTAGTTTCAGGTGTACAACATAGTGATTTGATATTTTTATGCCCTGTGAAATGATCACAGCACTAAGACCGGTTACCATTCATCACAGTACAGAGTTGTTGCAACATTATTGACTGCATTCCCTACATGTCCATTATGTCCCCATGACATTTACTTTATAGATGACAGTCTGTACCTCTTAATCAAGGAATCCATTTAAAAGTGCTTTTCCAGAAAAATACTGGGCAAAATAATCCACTTGCAGAGTAAGTTCTGGATTACTTTTATTTTTAAAAGGCAGGGAGTTAGAAATAGGTAGGAAGAAGTTAAGCTTGCAAGTATTCTTGCATTTTAAGAGTTTAAGAAAATATCTCTGGGTGACTGGACTTTTTATCCTCCAGATAGAGGCAGTCATGTTCATTTAATCTTATGAGTTGCACAAGTTTATTGTCCGTCATGTTCATCTACATAGAAGTCATTTCAGTAGGTCCAGAGAGGAAAACAAATATATAGGATTTAACTGTGACAGAACAGCATAGTCAAAGACAAAGATAGTCACTGTCATTTCTATGTTTGTTCTGTATTTGGTGGTGGGGGGGCGAGGAAAGGTTTGCCAGGAAAGAAAGTAAAGTATCTTTTATTTGCTTCAAAGCTTGAACAAAAACAAGCTACATTAACTATGAACTGTGGGTGTTTCCAGGAGAGAATGGGGAGTACCACTAGCTCCCTCTGGGAACTCTGTCAACAGATTAATTGTTTCTTAAATGGGGAGAGACATTTGTGGATATCTTTCCTGCCCATTTCAAGAAGGAAGGGCGTGATTCCACTTGATACCGCCTGTGATCTCAAATCAACATCCTGGGGTGTCCAATCTAGGCAACGAGTGAGACTATTTTCGATAACTTATGTGATTTCATTTTTGATAATTGCATGCTCATCTCATAGGAAAAATGATCAGACTCCGGTATTCTTTGTCTTAAAGATCATCCTTGGAATGATTTCCTGGTTTCAGGTCTGACTTCAGCATGAGAATAACCAGCTGGAGGTCATCATGATCTTTATTAATTTATCTTACTAATCAGACCTGATACCAAAATGATTAATTATAAATATCTTAAGAAACTTTACATCTCT